TTTTGTTTTGGCGGTAGTTAAAATGATGATATTTCTGATTCAACATCAATGAGGGGTCGTATGAATGTAAAAAGTAAAGTTTAGGTTTTTTGGTATCATGTAAATGCCCAAATTTTTTATGATTTGATTATTTATTTATTTGTTTGTGCTTATGATGAGCCCATGTGGTGCTCCATGGCGGTTTGTCACTTTTTTTAAAGAGGATCGTCGCCGGAACGTCATTGTACGACGATATAAATTGCACCACCCCGTTGTATATGTGATCCAAGCCGTCATTTGCACGTTCGGTCTGATGATCTCGCATAACATTTTAGCTTTCTTCGTTTGAAACTATTTTTGGTCATTGCACTTAATATGATATGTATTGATTCTCTATTTTTCTTACAAAAATTCCTTAGAATTAGGTAAGATTGCTAAAAAAAAAATTTATCTCACCTAATAATGATTTAATATTAATTATATTATTTATGATAATTTTTTTATGATAATTTTAAAAAATAATTATATTATTTATGATAATTTTTAAAAAATAAAATGATAAAAGCCTTAAATTTAAGAAAAAAATCACATACATACCACAATTTTTATGTATTTATAAATCTAACACTGTTGAATCCAAAATTGTTCTGAAAACACATTCAATGAATAGAGCTTGAGGAAGGAGAAATAGTAATGAACAATAAAGAGTGTGTAACCCCTTTATTATGAAAACCTCTTATTTATAGACATAGGACCTTAGTCTTATAAAATTGTAGATCAACCCCTCATCATTAGCTGTTTTGGAGAGTTCTTTTAGTAAGTCACAAGAATATTGAATACAATAAGATCGGTCGACTCGTCTGGTTGGTGGGAACATAATCGATAGTTCGTTCCACGTTTACTCTGTCTTTACTTGATCATAAATAGAATCATCTAACGATCGGTCTAAATTAAACTGATCGTCGTTCTGAGGGGCGAAGTCCATTGATACACTCATTAGCGCTTGATCCGTCTGTTTCATTAGTTTTATGGTTTTCTTCATCAGCATCTGATTCATTAGTTGTCTGGCAACCGTCCGTCGTTGATAGCTACAGCTGATTAGTCATTCAATTGATATGTCTTGGGATATGTGACTATATGTTTTTTTTCAACACAAACACCTAAAATTTAATTTTTATATTTATAACATTTTCGATAAAGTTACAATCCTTTTCATTTGAATATTAACACTCCAATGATGATCTTCCTGAAATCTGCAATATTTCCATAAGATCAAAGAGTCAAGGACAATGTATTGCCAACCAAACTTTTTTGCCACCAGAAGACCAAAGACCATACCATGTGCCTCAGCGACCAGTGGGGAAACAGGAACAACATTATATTTCCATAAGATCAAAGAGTCAAGGACAATGTATTGCCAACCAAACTTTTTTGCCACCAGAAGACCAAAGACCATACCATCTGCCTCAGCGACCAGTGGGGAAACAGGAACAACATTTTCCGAGAACTAACAAATAATAGAACCCAAAAAATCCCTACACACCTCCAACACTACCACAATTAGGCTTCCAACAACCATCAATATTGATTTTATTATAAGGTGCACTAGGCTTGCACCAATGTACCAAGGAAACATGCTTATTGATTAAAGGAACAGAAATAAATAACTTTTGCAATATAAAAACTAGTATGTCCGTCAGCTTTTTATTAGGGGTCAGAAGCTTAAGCCCTTTCAACATGTAATTAATAATCCTACTAACCATACAGTGAATATGAGGAACCGTCTGATTATATTTAATATCATTTCTCATAGCCAAAATAAACCAAAGGATAACAGTAGGAACGACAGTGAAAAAGGCGTGACCAAAATTCTTCCATACATTGAATATATCAGAAATGACATTATAGTGAGTCACAAAATTCTCCACATGCAATTTTAAAGTAAAATGTCTCCAGATTTCCATAGTAAACTGACAGCTCATAAAAATATGAAGACTGGTTTCTTCATGACTTTTGCATAAAACACAACATAAAGACAGTCTCAAACCTTTTATTTTTAGCAGATCATCAGTTGGAAGTAGATTATGTATTAATCTCCAGATAAAGAAAGACATGGAAAGTTTGACCCATGAATTCCAATTTCATCGAAGGTTTAACACCTGAAAACAATGAAAAGAATTAACGAAGCTTTTAGAAATAGAATCTCCCATTCTTCCTTTAATCTTGGCCATATCAGTATCGTCACTGGTAATAGGAACCAAATTAATGAAATAAGCATCGTGTTTAAGCTTTTGTAAACACCAATGATTCTCATTTCATAAATCTCTCACTTTAATATCAATAGCAACAGGGTCATCATGAAAATCAACTAAAGCACCCTTCCCCATCCAATCATCATACCAAAAAGAAACATCACCTCCACCAATATCTCAATAGATAAGATCTTTAGCGTTCCTTGCTACCTTTAACATCTCATGCCAAATAAAGGAATCATTCTTATTATAAGTAATAGTCAGAGGATGTTTATTAAAACAATATTTGGCATGCATTAAGGAAGCCCAAAGAGAACAATTCTTTCTGAATCTATATCATAATTTCATGTAATTTATTGTGATAGAATCAGATAAGCTACGAAAGCCGAGACCACCTTTATGAACAGGTTTACAAAGCTTCTTTCAACTAGTCTAGTGAATCTTAGACTCGCCATTACCTTCCCAGATAAATTTATTAAAAATATTTTCAATCTTTTTAATCATACCCAAAGGATATTCATAATTTGTAAAGAGTAGAAAGGGAGAGAGTAAGAACATTTTTGAGTAAAGTAATATGTTCTCCAAAAGAAAGAAACTTGTTTTCCCAAGATAAAATCCTTTGTTTGATTTTATCAAATAGTTTCATGCACAGGGCAGTACGATTCTTACCTTTATCGAAATTAAAACATAAACACGTCAAATGCAACATAGCCTTATTGCATCATGTATAATCCATAATCCAATGCTTCTTCGAAATAGATATCCTCTTAGAACAATAAAAGGAGCATTTGGAAGTATTAAAAAACAAACTTATTTTTGGTCATTGCACTTGATATGTATTTATTCTCTATTTTTCTTACAAAAATTCTTTAACATTAGGTAAGATTGCTAAAAATTTTTTCTCTCACCTAATAATGATTTAATATTAATTATATTATTTATGATAATTTTAAAAAAAATAAAAGATGAAAGCCTTAAATTTAAAAAAAAATCACATACATACCACAAAATTTTTATGTATTTATAAATCTAACACAGTTGAATCCAAAAGTGTTCTGAAAACACATTCAATGAATAGAGCTTGAGAAAGGAGAAACAATAATGAACAACAAAGAGTGTGTAACACTTTTATTATGAAGCCCTCTTATTTATAGACATAAGACCTTAGTCTTATAAAATTGTAGATCAACCCCTCATAATTAGTTGTTTTGGAGGGTTCTTTTAGTAAGTCACAAGAATATTGAATACAATAAGATCGGTCGACTCGTCTGGTTGGTGGGAACATAATCGATAGTTCGTTCCACGTTTACTCTGTCTTTACTTGATCCTGGATAGAATCATCTGACGATCGGTCTGAATTAAACCGATCGTCATTCTGAGGGTCGAAGTCCTTTGATACGCTCACAATGTCTGATCCGTCAGGTTCATTAGTTTTATGGTTTTCTTCATCAGCTTCTGATTCACTAGTTGTTTGACAACCGTCCATCATTGATAGCTACGGATGATTAGTCATTCAATTGATATGTCTTGGGATATGTGCCTACATGTTTTTTTTCAACACAAACACCTAAAATTTGATATTTATATTTATTGAAAAGATAAAAGCCTTAAATTTAAGAAAAAATCACATACACACCACAAAATTTTTATGTATTTATAAATCTAATACTGTTGAATCCAAAAGTGTTCTGAAAACACATTGAATGAATAGAGATTGAGAAAGGAGAAACAGTAATGAACAGAAGAGAGTGTGTAACCCCTTTATTATGAAGACCTCTTATTTAAAGACATAAGACCTTAGTCTTATAAAATTGTAGATCAACCCCTCATCATTAGTTGTTTTGGAGAGTTCTTTTAGTAAGTCACAAGAATATTGAATACAATAAGATCGGTCGACTCGTCTGGTTGGTGGGAACATAATCGATAATTCGTTCCACGTTTACTCTGTCTTTACTTGATCGTGGATAGAATCATCTGACGATCGGTCTGAATTAAACCAATCGTCATTCTGAGGGGCGAAGTCCTTTGATACGCTCATCAACGTCTGATCCGTCAAGTTCATTACTTTTATGGTTTTCTTCATCAGCTTCTGATTCACTAGTTGTCTTACAGTCGTCCGTCGTTGATAGCTACGGATGATTAGTCATTCAATCGATATGTCTTGGGATATGTGCCTACATGTTTTTTTCCAACACAAACACCTAAAATTTGATATTTATATTTATAATATTTTAGTATCATAATCCTATACTGGACATAGAAGAGGAGACTAAAGGTGTTCTACGCTCCCCATGGTTCCTGAGCACGATGATTGTTGAACCACAATTATCATGGTTATTCTTCTTATGACTATATTACTCCATCGCCACAAATTACAAGCACTCAACAATAGTGGATGAAGACCCCATGATTTTTCTTTCTTTCAAAACTTTTTATGTAAATTTTTTTTGACTTCTTTCTTTCAACACTTTATCTATATATATGTTAAATCGTTGTACAATACTAACACATAAAAATTGTTCTTTTTCCACCATGTATTTTCTACAACAAAAAATTAATCTCATTTATTTATATTTTTAATCTATTGGGTTTACTAAATATCAAAATTGATCCTAAATCAATATAAATAAATATTAAGTCAACTGACTTTTTATTCGACGTCATAAAAATCTGTTTTTTATTTTTAAAACCGTTTTTATAATGCCCGATTTTTAGGAAGTAGCAGCACGACAATTGATGCAATCATATTCCTTCTCAACCTAACTCGTTTCATTTCCTTCATTAAAAAAACCGTCCCGGCAGTTGCTTCCGTTTCCCCTCGGCTCCCGGTACACGACAAAGACAACACCTTTGAAGCCTTCTTCCTCCCAACTTCTCCACTTCGCTCAGTACCGTACCACCTTCCTCCCTCGCAACTATGTAGCCCAGCCAGAAGATTCGCGTGTCGTCGTTTCTGCCCTTTTCTCCTCTCCAATGGCGATCAAGGCCGCCGCCGACGAAACAGAGCCCCTCCTCGTCGAGCACAAATCAACCTCACAGCTCGCTCTCGTCGGCTCACGTGTCTGCCCTATCGAAAGCCTCGACTTTGAGTACTCCTTCTATGTCCTCCTCCTCCCTGCCCCTGTATTTTTATTATTTTCCCGATCAATGAATTGAGTAACGAATGTGCGGCGCAGGATCGCGGAGAGCGTGCTGGTGAACCAGGATCGGCGTGCGCGTAATGGCCGAGTTGAGATATTTCGGAAATTGTTCCTCAAATGGGCACTCTGCTTCCTAATCGGCATCTTCTCCGCCTGCGTAGGGTTTTTCATCAACCTTGCTATTGAGAACATCGCAGGCGTCAAGTTCGTCGTTACTTCCAACATGATGCTTGCCAATAGGTACGAGATGGTTGATTTTCGCGGAGTTATCTTCTTATTTTTACTGATTTGAATGGCTTGATTCGGCGCATTTGGTAGGTATCTGTGGGCGTTTGGGGTATTTGCAGCTTCGAATTTTGCGCTGACGATGCTTGCGGTGATCATAACCGCCTACATTGCGCCGGCGGCGGCGGGATCGGGGATACCGGAGGTGAAGGCTTATTTGAATGGCATTGATGCTCCGGAGATATTCTCATTTCGAACTCTGGTTATAAAGGTGCAGTTTTGAGCTCTTCTGCTCGCCATTATTCTATTTTGTAACAGAAGTTTTTTGTTTTATTCAGATCATTATGAAGTTTTTTGGTTCATTGTCATTATGGATAACATGGTTAATCATTTAACAATATTATATAGTTGTAAAATTTATTTTATAAGAGCGATGGTTCTTATGATTTAGATGTTGGTTGATCAACTTTGGACTTAAATAACATGGATAAATTATTATTTGAATTGTGAAACAGCTGAATTTGAAATAACAGCCTAAATTAAAAGACTTACTTTTGAAGAAATTTTCTTGCCATTATTTCCATTAGTCTTTTTTTCTTTGCATTAACAAGTAATAAAATCATGAAGTAATGGGCATTGACTTTGATGTATTTCTTTCCATGCAGATTTCTGGTTCCATCAGTGTTGTATCCTCATCGCTCCATGTGGGTAAGGCAGGTCCAATGGTACATACCACAGCATGCATTGCTTCTTTGCTGGGGCAGGTAGGATCTCACGAATTCCGGCCGACATGGCGGTGGCTTAGGTGTGTCGAGAACGATAGGGATCGGCGAGATGTGGTGACATGTGGAGCAGCAGCTGGAATTGCTGCCGCCTTCCGCGCACCGATTGGCGGAGTCCTTTTTGTGCTTGAATCATTATGTTCATGGTAAAATCTGCTTTAGTCGTCTTGTTTAGTGTGAAACCGTTCAAGTAAAATAAAGCTAAACTCTTAAACACTAGGACTTCTTTTGGTGTCACTGTTGGAATTTCATTGAAAACTCTAAATTTAAGCATGCTTGTGCAACCCTCCAAGTGAAATGAAGCTAAACTCCTAAACATGTAGGCATTTTTTTGTGTCACTGCTGAAATTTCATTGAAAACTCCAAAGTTCAGTGTGTTTGTGCTGGAGTACTCCTGTGATGAATGATCTTTCTGGAAGTAACACCAATATGACAAAATCATGAGGTCATTAGGCCAAAGCGGTCAATATTTTGATGGATGAGAGTTTGTGTTGTTACATTTTGTTTAGATCTTGAAACCCTCTAAGTAAAATGAAGTTGAACTCTTAAACATCTAGGAATTTTCCTGTGTCACTGTTGGAATTTCATTGGAAACTCCCATGTTAAGTGTGCTCGTGCGGGAGCACTTTTGGGATGAGTTATCTTCTTGGAAGTAAAACCAATATTACAAAATCATGAGGCCATTAGGCCAAAGTGGACAATATTTTTACAAAATCATGAGGCCATTAGGCCAAAGTGGACAATATTTTGATGGATGAGAGTTCGGTTTGTTACATTGAGTTTAGTTCGTGTTTTTTGTTTTTTTTTAAATACTTCGGTTTATATTTTGGTACATGCATTATAGCATATATTTTGCTTAATATCATTTTTGTGCTTGTCACCCTCGTGTAAAGTGAAATACTGACTTCTGTTATTCTATTAATTGCATTGCACCTTCATGATGGAATATTATTCTCTTTTTTGTTATGAGGACATTCCTCTTCATCGTGCTTTTGTTTTTGAACTAGCGTTTTTTTCATTTTCCATGTGAAACAACAGCTTTAGTTCCCAAGCTGATAATCTCATTTAGGATTTTTATGGGAGGAGAGCTCATGAAATTAAGGCTGTTTTTTATTTCTAGGAATTCTAGTGGAAACTAATGAAAGTGAAAGAATTAAAAAGCTTAAATAAATGATTGGGAGTTCATAATCAAATTATAAATTATTGACAATACATTTCTTTTTCTCCACAATTCTTCAATCCCAACAAAAACTAAAGGTTTGGTAATGCAAAACAACTTTATTTGTGAGCTTATATGTGTTGTAGGAGTAAGATGTATGAATTGCCCCTACAAGTGGTGCCATGACTCATGTAAAGGTTTTCATTGTACTTAATAATGCTTCTTAACAGCTTTATTTCTGCTGAACTTTCTTGTTGTTTTTGACCAACTATTGATTCATTTGATAACATGTATGCATAACTTATGGCTGTTTTTGGTCCTTTTATTTCATCATTTCAGGTGGAGATCCACACTGCTATGGAGATCATTTTTCACAACAGCTGTTGTTGTTTTTGTGCTTAGGGCTCTTATTGATTTCTGCAGAAGTGGCAAATGCGGCTTATTTGGAAAGGGAGGGCTTATAATGTTTGATGTGACTGAAGAGACTGTTTCATATCATCTTGTAGACTTACCTCCGGTTATTGTTCTAGGAGTCATTGGAGGCATTCTTGGGAGTTTGTACAATTTTCTCTTAGACAAGGTTCTTCGATTCTACATTCGAATCAATGCGTACGAATCATTCTCATCTTTTCTCTCACCAAATTGATTTTTTTTTTCTTTTCCCCATCATAGTTATTTAGATTTACCAGTTAGCACGAAAACAGTCTTACACGCAAAAGAATGAATCTTTTTGCAGGAAAGGTCGCTCATTTAAGTTTCTTCTTGCTGCCTGTGTCTCCATTTTCACCTCTTGCTGTCTCTTTGGCTTACCATGGCTAGCATCTTGTAGAGCATGCCCGGGTGGCATATCTGAAGCTTGCCCAACAATCGGAAGATCCGGAAACTTTAAGAAGTTTCAATGCACCATGGATCACTTCAATGATCTAGCTAGCTTATTCTTCAACACCAATGATGACGCAATAAGAAATCTCTACAGTGCTGGCACAGATAGAGCCTTCAGAAAGTACTCAATCTTTCTCTTCTTTGTCACCTCCTATTTTCTTGGAATTGTGAGCTATGGCCTTGTCGCTCCTTCTGGCCTTTTCATGCCAGTCATTTTGATCGGTGCAACTTATGGACGCCTTATCGGAATGCTCATGGGCTCGCACTCAACTCTCGATCACGGCCTCTTCGCCGTGCTTGGTTCCGCCTCTTTTCTGAGTGGGACGATGCGAATGACTGTTTCCGCGAGTGTTATTCTTCTCGAACTAACGAATAATCTCCTCTTGCTTCCTCTGGTGATGCTCGTCACTCTCATATCCAAAACCGTGGCAGACTATTTTAATATGAACATCTACGACATACTTATCAAACTAAAAGGATTTCCTTTTCTTCATAGACATGCACATTCCTACATGAGGCAGCTTAGAGCTGGCGATGTTGTTACAGGTCCCTTACAGATGTTTAATGGTGTGGAAAAAGTTGGTAACATAGTTCACATTTTGAAGACAACTACTCACAATGGATTTCCTGTGATCGATAAACCTCCGGCTTCGGATTCGCCTGTACTGCACGGCTTGATTCTTCGCTCTCACCTTCTAGTGCTGTTGAAGAAAAGATGTTTTCTTTCTTCTTCTGATACAGCTTCTAGTTTTGAGCATTTCTCAGCTGATGATTTTGGGAAATGGAGCTCAGGCAGACTTGATGGTATTGATGAAATTGTGTTAACAGATGAAGAGATGGAGATGTTTGTGGATCTGCATCCATGCACGAATACTTCGCCTTATACTGTTGTCGAGACGTTGTCTCTGGAGAAAGCTCGCGTGCTTTTTCATGAAATCGGTCTGAGACACCTTCTGGTTATTCCAAAGCTCCATTCTGTAAGAGTTCTTCGCTCAAAATTTGATCTTTTTGCATATTTGCCCGAGTAATTTTGTTAAAAGTCATGATTTTGATATTTGATTCAAAATCATGTTATAGATTTGCATAGCTAATTTTCTGTTTCTTTTCGGTGCTGCAGAGGATGCCTGTGGTGGGGATATTAACAAGGCATGATTTCATGCCCGAGCATGTTCTTGGTTTGCATCCTTTTCTGATGGGAAGGAGGAGAAAGCTGTCTGCTGAATTTTCCAGAGCTATCTGCTGATAACTTATAGGAAGATTTACATATATACCTCTTAATTCCTATGCATTTACATTTCTAAGTCCCAAACCTCCATTTTTACATATATGCCACTTTACCTATCTATGAAACTATATTTCATTTTTAAAAGTTAAAATAGTAGTTTTTTTTATGTGATATAAATGATTTGGGCGGTATAAATGTATAAAAGCAAAGTTTAGATATGTAAATACATAAGAATTGGGTGGTATGTGTGTAAATTCAGACCAATCTTTAAAAAAACAAGCAAGTTTTGGAAACATACAGGAATCTTCATTATGCTTAAAGATTGAAGAGGCCCAACCATAACTCTTTCGAACTCTCTTAGTGGATCTGTTCTGCTACTTGCAGGTTCAGATTGTCTGACAGTTTAGATGAATCTGAAAGAAGGCTCTCTCTTCACTATTGTATGTTTTTTTTCTTTTCTCCTTCAGCGTCAAAAGGAAGGTTGTTTTTGTAATTCCTATTTTATGTTGTACTATTTGATATAATACGTAAGCTTAGGATTATTATCATTAATGAAATTCTGGGTTTAGTAACTGCCTTCTAATAGTCTTTAGCAAACAGAGTGAGGGCGGATTATGCAGATAAGATTTGTCCTGTTCTGTAAGACACTTTCAGCAGTCAATTTGATCAAATTTTTACTTGGTTGTATTTATGTTCATCGGTATAGATATGGCTATTAACGATCCGATTTCAAATTGAGTTTGTGTCAGCTCCAAATCGGCTTGGTTGGATTGAGTGCGGCTTAAAATTGGCTCGTGTCTCGTGGCTCGTTATGTTTGATTTCGAGCCAGCTCCTCAGCTTGAAATGGAATCAAGCTTGATCTGGTTTGGAGTCGAAAGAAGCTGGCTCAAGTTCAGTTATTTGGGTGTGTTCCGGCTTTAAATTGGCTCAAGGATCGTGGCTCATTATGTTTGATTTCGAGCTAGCTCAGCTTGAAATGGAATCAAGCTTGATTTGGTTTGGAGTCGAAATAAGCTGACTCAAATTCAGTTATTTGGATGTGTTCCAGCTCGAAAATGACTCGATTCAGCTCAAAGTTGAAAGAGCTGGCTCAAATTGAGTATTTTGGTTCTATTCCAGCTTGAAATCGGCCTGTGGTTTGTTATATTCGTTTTTAATTTAGCAGTATGTGCATAAGATGTGATGTACGGTGCATACGATAGATATCTTATGTATTTTTATTTCTAACATCATATTTTTATTTTTATATGTATAACACTCAAATCATTAAGGTCACGACCAAAGTCTCACTATTTCTAAATTATTTGAAGTGAAATGCTCGTGGTAAAACTTATGAAACCGAAATGTTGCAAATGTCAAACTTTGGCTGTTGGATATTAGATTTGTAAATACATTAAAATTATGTGGTATGTATGTAAGTTTCCCATTTACTTGAAGGTTTGTTTAGAAGGATAGGGCATCTTATAATCATATAGTAAAATTTGTCTTCTATGGATATTTATGTAAATATATTGATAAATAATCAACACAAATACTTTAATTATAATTTATTAAAAGTAGACATACATACCACTCACTTCCTATGTATTTACATATCTAACACCCAAACTTGAATTTTTTACATATATACCAAATTATTTATACATGAAAAAATATGGTTTTCTTTTAAAATTTAAAATAGTGATATTTTTTATGTGATGTGAAATATTTAGATTGTATAAATATAAAAAATAAAATTTAAGTATTAAATATGCAAATATAAGAAAATAGTTGGTACATATGTAATTGCCCCAAGAAAATTTTTCCTCCGACTCAATATATCTTTGGTTTGTGGAGGAAAAATTGCGTACGGAAGACGTGCACAGCGCTGCGTACGTCAAAGAGGTTATTCAGAGGATATTGGGGGGTTGTATCTGTGTTATAACCCCTATAACCTCCGTGTAACCTACATGTAACCTCATTGTAAACTACCTGTAACCTACAAATATATCTGTAACATATCTGTAATCTACAAATATATGAAAACAGAAGCACAAAATTTACTAGAATGTACATGTAGATTATAGGAAGGTTAAAAGGATGTTACAGAGGATATAACGTGAATATAACCCCCCAATACCCTCTGAAAAACCTCCCTGAAGTACGGAGCGCTGAGTACGTCTTACGCACGCAAATTTTTCTTCGATTTGTGACCAGCAATCCTTCAACATAGTTCTCTTAAATAACATATTAATATATCATAAACAGATAATATCCTAAATTATTTAAAAAGAGCATTCATTCTTTTTTCAAAGATCAATATATTTAAAACCTGTCCATTTAAAACAATAAAATTCAACTATTTTTATATTAATAATATTTTCTTATTATTTAAAATATAGTCATTTAAAATCTCTTGATATATCATAGCTGATAAATCATGCACAATAAAATGTAACATTTCTATAATTTCTCTAATGAAGCAAAGAACACACTCAAAATGCTTCAGCAGACAACATCTTCCAATTCAGTTGGAGTTCACTCTAAAGTTTATTTCCAATGTATTTAAAATTTGGTGGCGGAAACCGATCATAATTTATTTCTCTTCAAAGCAGACAAAAGTATGCAAAATATTGTATTTACTTTACATTGAACCGGACAACTCTAAATTATTTCAAATGCAATGCATTGCATTAGCATAAAGGGCTGCAAAATGAGTCGTTGTTCGCGAGCATCTCATGTTTGGCTCGTTCACTAAGTTAACGAGCTGAACATGAACAAAGATTTGTTCGTTTGTGTTCGGCTCGTTTCGGCTCGACATTCTACTCATCAATTATACTATATATATATATATATATATTGATGAGTAGTATGTGTCTGTGTATCATAGATTATAATTATAATTTCTAAATTAATATAAATAAACTTAATTATTAAATGGTGGAGCACAATATTTCATAAACATAAGAGCATAATATCAATAGAGAATAAAACAAAGGAGAACTTGAAATAAAATGGGAAATTTGCATACATACATACCACTTAAGGATTAGGGTTGTCAAAACGACTCTTTACTCGTGAACAGCTCATGTTCGGCACGCTAAGCAAACGAGCCGAACACGAATACACTTTTTGAGCTCGAAATATAAACGAGCTGAGCCTGAGCTCACTCGTGTTTAGCTCGTTTAAACCCCTAGTTAGCACTGCAATCCTCTCATCTACTCTATTTCTTTTCGAGCAAACCAAACAAATCATTGTTAACCAGCTTAAAGCAGTCAAATAGAAAATAAATGATGAGTAACAATTAATATCCAGCCAAGGCATTCAATTATTAGACTAATTTTCTCTGTACACTATGGCTTAAATTACCTCACCTGCCTCTCTTTAACAATTCACATCCAACTAAAAACAATAGGCCTAAGCTGTATACATCTAAAAGGGAAATATGATACAAAATGACTCTGCGGAGTTCTGAACTTCAAAAGAAAACTTGCAGAGATGACGCATCTGAGCTTGACATGGGAAGATTGGGATTAGGGGTCAGAGCTTCTACTTAAGAGTTATATAAGCATTGAATACCCAAACAACACATCATCATCGTCGTCGTCGTCGTCGTCATTAGTTTTATCCACGACTGCTTAAGAATCGTCGTTCTCTATTCGTTCCTAATTAGCATCGTTCAAAATGTTAAAATCTATTATGTGCAAGGTCCAATCCATTAACCAAGGCAAAGAAGGCAGGGCAACATTGCAAATGCTGATTTAACCTTCAGCAGAGCCTAAGAAAAGTTGTCTTCTTAAGCTGTGGATTTGAGGCTGCGTACAAACAAAGTTTCTCAGCATTATTTTATAAGATTTAGTTTGACATTAACATTTTTCTGTCGTTGGATGGAAGATAAAAGCTTACTTCAATTTGTTGAAGCATGTTTAGGTGTCCTTGCTGGTTAAGAGGAATGGTAGTGGTAGCATGATGAATTTGGTAAATGCCTGGACTGAAAGAATTCTGTAAAAGGTAAAATAATCAGCATAATGTCTTTGTTTTAAGAATTGTTTTTTAGAAGGTTTACATACATACCACTCAATTCTTATGTGTTTACATGCATACCACCTTCGGCTTGCATGAAGAGGTGTATTTCACTTTTTAGAAGTTAAAATAGTGGTATTTTTTATGTGATATGAAAGATATGGGTGTTATAAATGTAAGAAGTTAAACTTAGGCGTTGGAAATGTAAATTCATATGAATTGAGTGGATGTATGTAAATACCCACTTGTTTTTTCAGCAACAAAAAATCTGATTTATTAGCCAATAATAAGACTAGAAGACTAAACTTACAGCTTGGACAGGTTGGAGCTGAAAATTGTTGGCGAGAAGATTAGTGTGGACACCAACACTAGATGGCTGAGACAAATCCAGCCACAGATTTGTGCTCTGTGCTTCAGGGTGCTGGCGAAAGTTATCTTGAGGAGCTTCTCTTCCCATGCTAGAAGATGCATGTCTCTGATCAAAAGGATAAATATCATTAACACATATCATTAATCAAAATTAAGCTAAATATCCTGTTTCAAGGAACTCAAATTAAAAAAAAAAACAAAATTACTGTAAATACCTGTACTGGGTCACTTGTTGGATTATATACATCATTGTTTAGGTGCACATCAGATAAATTTTGCTCTGCAGCACCAACGGAAATCTGCGGAAGACGAATCTTTTTCTTCTTTTTGTTAGTGGTTTGCTCTATTCCTTTCAATTTTCGTGTCTGCATCTGTTCTCTGCTTGATACATCACCCTCCATGGTTTGTCCTAATTCAACATCCAGACCATTAAGTTCAGTATTTTCTCCTTCAGGATCGGGCTTGTATCTTCTTCTTAATCTCTTCTCTACTTCCTGCAAGAGTTTACTAACCTGGCCTACTGCAATAGCATAGGTTTCTTCAGTCTCAGCAGCTTTTGCAGCCACCTGAATAAATAGGCGACAAAGCTCTTTATAGCGCCTTCTTAACTCAATCTTTGGGTCCAGACATGGAGCACAAGGACCTGCTACACCCATCATCTTGGCATCCTTCATCCACCTCTTTAGTAAGTATGAGTCAGGAATCGTCCTAATGTTCTTAAAATCAAGTACTTTGAGAGCATGAGTGCATAAGATCCCTATAAACTCAAAATTCTTGCAGCTACATTCGACAGAAACGTTTGAAGAATCAAAAATAACAGTGTGCTCCTGTATTTTACCATGAGTTTTCAACTTGTGAGTGCTAATGAAACCATTCTCGCCAAAAAAGTGCATATCGCAATTCCATGTTTGCAGAACTTCATCCTGGAACATCTTGAATATAACTGGTGTGTAAATTCTTGCTGCATGCTTCAAAATTTCTAAATTGAACTTCAGTTTTGGCATGCTTTGGCTTGCTGCAATATCGGCTTTTAATTCTTCATATCTTCTACCCTGGACTAATCTTTCGAGGCGCTGAAAGAATGCTAATATATCGTTATCTGCGTTGAAAGAATTCTTAAGCTCCTTAATCATGGTGTCAGTTCTTTGGGCACTGCACAAGCCTGCTTGAAATACATTTCGCTCGTATACTAAAGCCCATTGCTCTCTCTTCTCAAATAAACTGTGAAGACAAACATTTCCAAAAAGTTTATACTTTACAAGCATAGAATTCCAAGAGTCTAGGAATGTCGCTTCTTCATCATGATCATAAATACAACTACTAAAATCAATACCAAAACTTTTATAATCTCTAACAACTTCACTGAGCTGCTGGCAAATATTCTGACCAATCTGCCACACACATAAACGATGATTTGTCTCTGGCAGGCAAATCTTAATTGCTTTAGCCATTGCTATATTATCATCCGTAAAAACTGTTTTTGGTTTGTTCCCTAACATAGCCTTCAAAAATGTATCAAACAGCCATTTAAATGACTCAAATGTTTCTTCATGGAGCAAGGCAGCGCCAAAAACAATAAGTTGTTTGTGGTTATTCACACCCAGAAGCAGGCCAAATAGCCCGTTATCAATATTCAATCTTCCGTAAGTCATATCGAAGCAAACAACATCACCAAAATTTTCATAATCAGCTATCATTCTCGAGTCTGCCCAAAAGACATTTGTTGTTGTATGCAGCTTGTCGAGTTGAACTGAGTAAAAGAATTTTGGATCTTCAAGTTGCATCTTTTTAAGATACTCCAAAACACCTCCACTATTTCCACCTTTGATGGTTATAGACTGCTCGGTCCGCAAATCATTTCCGAAATCAAGGATGAAGCCGAGATTTTCATGGCCGTCAACATCAGCAGACATTAAATCGAAAGCGGGCTTCGAAGATACCCCGAGAGTTGTGACTGGCTGAGCAGGAATAATATGCCGATGTGATCTCAACCGATGGACCTGAGTGCGTGTTGCGAGCTCATGATTGTGCTCTGGTATGAATTGAAAAACATAATATTTACCATTCCGCAAGCTTATCTTCAACTTTGCGTTGCAATTACATCTTGTTTCGTAACGAGGAGTTTGCACGTTCTCCTTTCGCCGATCTTTGCCACGAATACCTTCACGAGAACAACAGAATGTTCTGTCCTTGACTTCGCCTCCTTTCCTTAATAGGTGTCGGGAGCTCTTTCGGATTGAGAATCCCATCTCAAATGCGTATCTGTTGTAAAAATCATATGCCTCCTGCTCTGTTTCGAACTCCATGTCAACCTTTGGAATCCATTCGTCCGGAAAGCAAATTGCGACTTGGTCTAAATCACCATTACTGCAATCATTAAGACCGGTGGGGCATTGTTCTCCAGAATCATGAGCCATCTACGTTAAAAGACATAACATCAATCACAAAAAGATTCTACTCATACATGCAACAGAAAGCTTCACACTACCACCCCAAGAAAATTACACAACGATCAAAACAAATTATAAGAATATCAACGAAACAATTAATATCTACAGAAGCAGACTTGCATAAAATCCAACAGATAACCACTTCATGGCTTTATTGTGGAAGAAAAAGATGAACACATCAAATTGCTTTAGTAAGATGGCGAAAAACTGAAAGCTTAGGGGAATGTGAAAGATTACAAGAGTTAAGAAACTTGCATAATTTCTAAGGCTGCATAAAATACTATTCGAAGTTCAAATTACAGTATAATAAGACATTGAAAACTGTTTAGCAAGACATTGGAACTTGAAAGGCTAGTTTGACTTCGGCATTAAAGTATCTATTCTATCAGGAAAGAATTCTGTTAATAGAGGTGCTAAGCAGAAAATTGAATACGTTGTTTAAAACAACGTATAAATCATTCAACCATATGCACTATGGTGGAGTGAAAAAGATATTTAAAACAAAGAAATGCAGAGAATGGCTTGTAAGTGGAAGATTACCAGAGGGTAAAAAACATATTAAATTAAATTAGAGTACCCTATGCATACTAGATACAGAAAGAACAGTACAAAAGCTAAATCAACGAAGTTCATTTACCTCACAGTCATTTTATTAGCAAATAAACAATAAGTTACAATAATTCAGGAACTGGAATCTGCTCAGATAACTTTTGTAAGAATGCGTTGTACCATTATCATACCATCCATGCCATAAGCTAAAATGCCTAGTGATGGCAAAATACCTTACTAGTGCCTAATATTTTCATATATTTTCCAGCAATCTTGATTTTTTTTTAACCTAAAGAAAATCACAAAGAGAACTTTTTGTACTGACAAAATTAATAGAAAAATGCAACTTTTCATGGACCAATCATTTAAAGGATAATCATGCCGTCCACTTTATCCTGTATTATTTTCAGAATGGATAATAGATTTTTCTTTACATTAGAGAAATTATATGGGATCCCTGACCCCGAGTGCAAATTATATTGTAGGTGAATTGTGTCATAAATAAATTAAAAGTTCTTAAGCAACTCTTCTGTCCTAAATTACAATTAGAGTCTCACGTTGATGTGCACACTCAAATTTAACACTTAGTAATGCCATTAGGCCTCGACCATTTATATTTTGGAAATTTACATAAATACCACTCAATTCCTATGTATTTACATAACCAACACCTAAACTTCAATTTTTACATAAATACCACCTTATCTATGCCTGAAGAACTGTATTTCATTTTTTTTACGTCAAAATAGTGATATTTTTATGTGATATGAAAGTACCAATGTAAAAGGCAAAGTTTAGATGCTAGATATGAAAATTTATAGGAATTATGTAGTATGTATGTAAATGCCCTTATATTTTTTGCCATTTGAATCCCACCTTACAGAAGCAATTGATGGATGGCAGAAAGAAGGGCACCGGTCGTACTTAGGGTGGGATAAAGGCGTATTTTAAAACAACATGAAAGTCACTCTAAGGTAAAAATGGAGAATGGAATGAGCCACCCCTTTCATTCAAAGTAAGAAATCAAAATTTCAAACTATGGAGCGGACAACTAGAATTAAAGTGTCCATTTGAGTTACTAAGCTACAAATGCCCTAAAAGAACATGGTAATGGGAGTTTCCTACATTGATGGTTTTTAGTACAACAAAGATTCTACATTGACTATGATACAAACCAGAGCCAAAATCAGCAAACTTGCAAGTATTAGGTGGGAAGAAACCCAAATTAGGGCTAATTGATTAATACCAAAGGAAATAAGCAAGATACAAGGGTGATCTACAATTCGAGAGGTAGATCGTCTCTCCAAAAATCCTATACGCTGATAGGAACAAGATGACAAAAGCAAAAGCTGAATGAAATAAAACATAAAACAAACCCTAGCTAATTAGCCCTCATAAATACCCCTTAAGACCCCTTCAGACTTTCCCACCCAAAACCCCCTTTCCCCTCCTTGTATGCATGATTAGCGGCTAATCAAATCCCACTCGAGGGTTGAAATAGTCCTCTTCGTGACAAGAGGGTTCAGACCATTTCAGCTAGGCCAGCCAGTTTGCCAAGGCTGACAGGTCCGACTGGGCGGCTTCAGTCAAAGTCGGTTCCTCCTAGAGCAACATAACATCAAGCGTATCAATACTCCCCTTCCAAAGAAGCACCATGTCCTCAAGGTGGAATGATGGAAATTACTTTTGGATTACCTTGTACTCCTACGTCGTTTCATTATCTGGCTGATCATTTCACTTAATCAGTACCTCCTTTGATACAACCACTCTTCGGTGAACCTTTTCGACCTCCAAAGGTTCCAAAAACATCTCCATGTCCTCTGTCAACGCCGGTGGTAGTGAAGATGAGGGCATGTGATCACCAATAGTATGCCTCAGCTGTGATACATGAAAGACTTAATGCAATGATGATGATGCTGGTAGCCTCGAGTGGTATGCCACTACCCTAATATGTGTTGTAAATCTCATAAGGTCAAAAGTATCATGGAGAAAGTTTTTCAATCCTCTTCTTGGTCAATGTCTTTTGACAGTAAGGTTTCAGCTTCAATTAAACTATGTCCTACAGTTTGAATTCTATCTCCCTCCTATGCCCAACAACCTTCATCTTCATGATCTGTTGCGCTCTTAGTAAATGTCCTTTAAACTCTACCAATATTATGTCCCTCTCCTCCAAGTACTACTCTACTCTAGATAGTGGTGTAGTGTCATGCCCAAAGTGTATCAGGTGAAGTAGATCCGGCCTATACAAAATCCTGAAAAGGGTAGTCCATGTCATAGTATGTTACGAAGTATTGTACCGATACTTAGCCAAATCAAACCATCTTGCCCAAGCCTTTGGCGTATCTAATACAAAATAGCGCAAATACATCTCCACAATCATGTTGACCATCTCCGTTTGACCATCCATCTAGAGATGATATGTTGTATTCTCCTTTAGGACTGTCCATTATAACCTGTACAGCTCCTTCCATAAATGGCTGAGGAACACCTTGTCCTTATCTGATACAATAGATTTCGAAACACCATGCAAACAAACCACTTTCAGTATAAACACTGTGGCAACTAAGATATCAATGTAAGAGTGTCTTGAAGGAATGAAATGTACATACTTGCTCAAGTGTCCACTACCAAAAATATCAATTTAACCCCTCAAATTGTGAAAAACCCTCTATAAAATTCATTGTCACCTCCTCACAAACCTTCATAGGTAAGGATAGGGGCAGTAACCCTCCTAGTGCTATAGTCAAATAGGTGTGATGTTGGCACATATCACATCTAGCCACCATGTCCTCTACATCTCTGCGTATCCCCACCCAGTACATCTTGATCGATAGTTGACTGTATATCTTATGTAACCCTGAGTGCCTGTCCAATTGCGCTTCAGTCAAACTCTCGCAACAGTTTGGGGATGTACTCAAATCCCCTCAGTAACATGAAACAACCATGGTAGAGTAGTTGTCGACCCCTCAATCTGTATCCTAGATGATTGTTCAGATCTTATAACAACTCTGCCCTGATCTTCCTCAGCCCTTCATCCTGCTTGCTCTCCCGCCTCAAGACATCTCAATCTAAGACAAGGGGTATTGATAAAGATGTCAACTGGAGGTCTCCACCTTCCTCGATAGTGCATCCATGGCTTTATTCTCCAATTCGAGGGATACTGGATCTCAAACTCATATCCAAGTAACTTGGATAGCCACCTCTGTTGCTCCTTAATCACCATCCTTTGCTCCAACAGATGCTTCAAGCTCATCTGATCTATCATGACTATAAAGTGTCACCCCAACATATAAGGGTACCACTTCTGAATGGCCAAAACAACAACCATCAATTCCCACTCATAATGAAATAGGAAAAAAGATTGTCGGTCCAGCATTAGTACTGCTACCAATCCATACTTTACCACATCCATCTCTACCACAAATAGCTTTCTCAAGTCTAGAAGTGCTGATACTGAAACACTGGTTATGTCTCTCTTCAACTGTTTGAAGGTTTGTGTTACTGCTTACCCCCCCCCCCCCCCCCCCCCCCCCGCACACACACACACTCAAATCTGTCTTTCTTCAGTTGCTCCATCAATGGTCATGCGATTGTGTCATACCCTCCCAGAAATTTCAGATAATGACCAGTGAGGCCTAAGAAACCTCTTAATTCATTCAAGCTCATCGGCAAAGGCTAATCCAAAATAGCCTCAATCTTGGATTTATCTGCTGTTACCACTGCTTTGGTCACCACACACCCTAGGAACTCTACTTGTCAATGTGCAAAAAAACGTTTCAAGTTGGCATATAGTTAGTGCTTTCTCAACATCTCCAATGCAGTCCTCAAGTGTCTCATATGTTTTGTCTTTGTATGACTGTAGATCGGGATGTTATATAAAAAATTTAGGACGAACTTCCTGAGGTAAGGCTGAAAACTCCTGTTCATGAGAGATTGAAATGTGGTCGGAGCATTGATAAGGCTAAATGAAATCATCAAAAACTCATAGCTCACACTAGGTTTGATAAACCCACTTCAAACATCTCTAGGATCAATTTCTCTATCTCATCCTACTAAATCTGAGGATATCGGTATGCTCTGACACTGATAGGGAGAACTCCTTCCCTCAATGTAATGGTATGCTCATGCTCCCTATGCTAGGTTGTTGAAATAGATTAGAAAACTACTAAAGAAACTAATGAACACACTCGAGAAAATCTACTGACTATAGCGCCACCCGAATCTCCTCTATATTCTGCAACTCCAACAAACAGCCCATACTCACTCAAGACGTCATCTTGACCATGGTATTGAGCAAGACCATAGTTCTGCATAGGCAAGCATCTCCTCTCACCACCACCTTCCTTCCCTCCATCCTAATCTCCATAGTCAAGGATTTCCAATCTACCATTGTCTCCCCAATTGTTTGCAGCATCTTC